GGGGAGGTCGCGTTTCCTTAGAAATGTAGGATGCTTTAGCTCCTCGCCTAATCGCTGCGTGAGAAGGGCTGGCTCACCCCCTCCGTGCCTACTGCCCAGCCCTGGGGAGGTCGTGTTTCCTTAGAAATGTAGGACGGGCCCAGAATCTGTGCGATCTCTTCCACTCGCATTCCATTGAGATCTCGGCGTGGCGTCAGGGCTGCCCGCCAGAGCTGGCAAGTGAAGGCTCTCGCCGGTTGAGCTTCACGCCAGCTGAAACTGGCAAGGGTGGCCTGCTGCGGTGGTGCCGCGGGAACGCAATGCCCTTTTTTTTTCCAGGACTCGCGTCCTGGACCCTCCCTGTGCAGGCGGGGGCACGTCCCATGGTCCGGGCTAGTTGAGGCTGCCAGTGGAGAGGGGGTGTCTGCCTGCCTGCCTGTCTCTCTCTCAGAAGAAATAAATAAACTGTAAAAAGATACGTGGGGACCCGTGGATCCTGGGGGACCCGTTGCTGTCAGTGCTGGCTTTCTAGACCTTGCTGTGCTCAGGTTGCTAGTTAGGGCTCCCCTTCCCTGGCCTGCTCAGCGTTCTGAATGTGCCACGCATTCACTCCCCCAACACCTGGCACCCTGTCTCTCGCTTCGCACCTGGGGCCTGGCCAGTCTCCTGCAGTTTTTTTTCTGGGTTACAGGGGGGTCCCCCATTTATCCAGGCCCAGCTACCTGACTGGGTGCACCCCGAGTCTCATATCTTCGTGGGGAAAGAGCGCCAGCCAAAGGTAGACCTCAGCCCAGGCCCTGATCCCGGAGGACCGTTTGCTCGTCCGTGCCTCATCCGTGCGGGAGACTTGGAGCATGTGTCCACATGAGGCCGGGCGGGGCGTGCATCAGTGAAGGGACGGGCTGGCATGTGGGGGAGCCTGTACTGCCTGATGACAGCTAGTAAGAGCTGCAGTGGCTGCTGTGTGGAAGGCCCAGGGTGAGGGAGATGGACCGAGTGCTCAGGTCTGCCAGACAGACCGGAGGCTTTTGGTTCCCGACTTCACCCTGGCCAGTGGGAGGCCTAGAAGATGGGACGGGAGGCTGCTCCCCTGCCCTGCTGCAGGGCCGAAGGCCCCGTGGGCAGGGGTGGGTGGAGGCCGGTCTGCTCCCAGTCGAGGTGGGGCTGGTGCTGTGTGCACGCGTGTGCGCCCATCTCCATGGGGCGGGCGATTAAGCCCACAGGAAGATCTGTGGGCCCAGCTGAGTAATGAGCCGTGAAATTGACATTATAAGTTTTAATTATCGTGACTGCCTCTCGGGGCGGCTGGTGCTAATTGTCCTGTGGGCATCCCTGTTGTCGTCCCCTTTCCTTCCTCTCTAAGGTCACGAGCCCCTGCGGTGGCCATAGTAGCAGTGTTTGGGCACAGTTCCTTTCACAGCAGGAGAGAGGTCATTGCTGCTGGCGTCTGTGGTCATAGAAGTGTCCAGGGCCTGACGCGGCCACCAGAGTCTCAGGGGCCCTCGAGGCCACTGCCCTGACGTCGGCCCGTCCTAAGGCCCCGACTGTGGACAGATCAGTTCTGCAGGAGGGGCCAGCGTCACCCTTTCCAAGCATTCCTGACAGCGAGCACCCATTTCTAACTGCTTCTGCCCCCAAATAAGCCGCCCTCCGCACCATCCCTGACCTGGTTTTCTGCTTCAGAAATGTCCTTCGAAGGTGTACCCCCTCTCAGTTCTGCTCCATCAGGCACTGTACCTGGCAGCCTGGGCAGAGCCGGTGAGAGAAGCTGGCAGGTGGTCTCTGTGTCCCCGCCCTGCCTCCCCTCCTGCCCTGCTCCTGATCCTGTCCTCCTCACCTGCCAGCTAGGGGCAGGGAACAGCTCGGAGGTTGGAGGTGGGGTCCATGGGGCTGAGGGGAGGCATAGGGAAAACTCATGGCCCTTGCTTAGCAGCTGGTCTGGGGGATGGGAGGTGGGGGCTCCCCAGGGACACAGGACAGCCTCAGCAAGCTCCTGGGACAGCCAGCAGGGCTGCCGAGACATAGCGGGCTGCCACGGAGTCTGCTGGCCAGAGGTGGGAAGCACGGACTGACTTGAGAGTTGTAGACATGGGGCCGGGGGAGCTGGGGCCAGGCCAGTGGTAGGAGGCTAGAGAGGCGCGTTCTGCAGCAGAGCTGCCTCGCTTCTCTGGCCTGCACCCCGTTCCCTGGTCCCATCGAGGGTGTCAGCCAGCTGGAGAAAGCTGCCCACAGTGGAAACCCAGAGCCCTCCACGTAGGGGAGGCCAGGAGGGTGTGTTCAGATAGCATGCGAGCCACGGAGCGCGGCAGAGGCACAGACACCACGGCTTCAGAGCGTCCATGGAAAACAGAATGCCATGTATTTTGATGCAAAGAAGAAAGCTGAAATGCAGCGCATCTTTTCATAGCACGTTCTGCTGTGAACTCCTGAAGACCTGCGCGGGAAGGGCAGGCCCCGCCTCCGGCTCCCGTCACAGCAGAATAGCAGTTGCCACGGCCACAGAGCCGGCTCCGAGTGCTGCTGGGCACCACCTTCCTGTTGGGGGATAAAGGAAATGGGATCCGTGTGGCCGAGGGCACTTCCTCTGCACACCTGCTTGAGGCCAGTCCGGGAACCTGACGGCACTGTCTTTTCTGACTGTCCCGTTCAGACCTCTCCCCTTGATGGGTGTCAGGTGTCTCCATGTGGCCAACAGTGACACTACACCAATCAGAAAACATGTCCTATTTAACTTTCAAAGTGGCAGAGGACTAGGCCCGGGTAAAACAGGAAAACAACTCTGTCTTGTTTTGGGTGAATTGATTTTTTTTTTTTTTTGAGAGGTTTTTGCTATAGGGCGCGTGTGCTCGCCAGACAGACAGAGAGACAGAAAGCGAGAAATCACCCCCCGGGGGGATGGTCACGCCGCAATCCCTTCTCCTCCATTCTCCTCTCGGGATCTTGGGCATGCACGCACACGCGCCCGGCGTGAGTTTTAAGCCACCAGGTCCAGGATGCGAACTGCGGTCGACTACGTGGGAGTCCAGCGACATAGCCATTATACTAACTGCTGGTCCCAATGGGTGAATGGTTTTAATTGGCTGGGCTGGGATTTAAAAGTCTGGGCCAGGATTTCTCACTTCTGGATGGTTGGAGCTGGGCAGATGTAGCTGGGGACGGTTCTGTGCGTTGTGGGAGGTGCAGGAGTAGCCTACCTCCTCATGGTGACAACCAGAGTGACTGCAGGCGTTGCCAAGTCCCCTTGGGAACAAGAGAGTCCCACTGAGACCCTGGGACTGGGGCGACTGCCCCCTTGGATCCTTCTGGTGGCCGGGGCCTCTTGCACGCTGTCTGATCGCAGTGCTGGTGTTGCAAGCCACCCTTCGCCCCGCTCCCAAAGGCCTGTTACACGCCATTGTGCTCACACACAAAGCCATCCGGAATGAGCATTGCCGAAAGCAAGCTGATGTTTCCTCCTCGAGGTTCGACAATGAACCCCCCGCCGGAGCTGCTATTTAATTGGCGGCGGTGGCTGGCTGTCAGTTTGCCAGCAGGTCCTCTCTTAACTGCCGTCGCTGGACGTTGCCGAGACATAACTGAGGAGCGATTGAGCTGCCAGCGTGCTATTAAGTCCTGCACAAAGAGCCCTCCGTGTGCTACAGCGTCCGCCTTCTGGGCCTCTATTGATCAATTCAAATACCAAAGCAACCTTGGCACAGGCAGCCCTGGTGAGAACATACCGCTTCTGGTAGGAAATTGTTGGGCACTGACACAGGGTCCAGGACAAGGGCTCCTTTGGTTTTCCTCTGGCACGGGATCAACCTCTGGCAGAGCTTCCTCAGCCGAGCGGACATCAGCCACCGTAGAGGAAGGGAAGGGGGACTCACAGCCGCCTGTCTCCACGGAACAGGGCCAGCGAGGAGGCCTAGTAAGGGCAGAGGCAGAGGGAGGTTCTGAATGCTCTGACAGACACCTTTGGCTAAAAGCAGAAGTTCGCCAAGAATTCTGTTCAGGTTTTAGACCGAGTCACCATGTGAGACCGCAGATGGCTGGTCACTTTTAGAGGGTCGCCAGCCTTGGCAAGGACATCCCAGGACATTTCAGAGGGATGGTTTTCTGGCCTGGGGATTATGCTTCCGGGCCACAGACGACTGCAGGCAGCAGAAAGCTGTGCGTCAGGGTTAGGGGACCGTCGGCAGGTAGTGTGATGGTGAGGCACTGCACTCTCACATGGCCAACCACGGTTCGAGTCCTGAACCTGACGTCTTACTTTCTTGCTTTCCCTTTCTCTCTCTGGTCAAATTAAAATAATAATAATGAATAAAATGAAATTAATAATCTCTTAAAAAGAAAAGGAAAAATAAAAAAAAGAGCGTGCGGTGAGTGGGGACGAGGCCTGGCTATGGTGTCACCATCAGATGCCTCGCTGGTCCGTGCCTGGTGGGCAGGACACCAGGGCACGGTGGGGCACGGCAAGGTGACCTGCATGCCCAGCTGGGTACTATGAGTGGGGCTGAGTCGTCGTGAGCATTCTCAGAGGAAGTCGGGGGTTGTTGAGCACTACTGGGGGAATCAGACGGGTTTTGGAAGAAAGGCCCCAGGAGGACACGCAGTGGGCACCCAGCACAGAGGGGTGGGCAGGAGCACCGCGGCCACACCCCAGGGGCTTCCCCTGCCACTCAGAGGCATACCCTGGGGAGAGCGTGCTTGTCTGACCGGGTTTCCTGTGTAGAAGTGACGGCCAGTGGGCACCACTTTGGCGCTCTTCCCAGCACAGAGGGAGTTGGACGGAGGGCAGAGGCCTCGGAGCTGGCCGGGCCCTCCGTGTGCGTTTCAGGGTAATCACTGGTGGGCCCTCTCATCTCTGCGAGCCGTGGAGCACAAGTGTTCCTGTGACGAGCTGGCTGTCCCTCCAGAACGCCCCGCACCTGGAGTGTGCTCCACACTCCCTTGAGGCCCGGAAAGCCCTGGAAGGCCCAGGGGGCCGGCAGACCACTGGTGACAGGAGGCGTGCTGAGTAACCGCCTGTGCTCTGCTTTCAGAACCTGTCGCAGCTCCCCTGTGGCAAGGCCCTCTACAGCTACGAGGGGAAGGAGCCTGGCGACCTGC